ACGATCGAAACAATATGCTCGTCGAGAAGTTGTCATTGCTGGACTATTTACAAACACATACAAAAACCTACTACGGGGTGATGTAACTGCTGTGATTAAGGAACAAATTTATTGCAGCTTTAGTCTCCATTCCTCTCGCACCCTCCAACACAATAAAAGCGGAGTCGAAGGCCAGTCAGAACGTGCGAGCACGCATGCCCACACGCATACACAGCGAGGTCAGCTTTCTCCATACATACAGCAAACCTTCCCATGTGTACATATTGTGAAAGGCATGAATTGCACTCAATGGAGCTCTCAGCGCTTCTTTTCAATTTAGATAAATTAAGGAACACATGATAAGTGTGAGCAGTTCTCGTACTGTATGTCACTTATATATGCCAACATCAAGTCAGGAAACGCAAGCTGACACAAACCACATGGGTCTTCAAGGCGCTTCTCCAGCTCAGGAGCCGAGAAGCTTGCTCCTTGCCAACCCCGGGCTTTGCCAATAGCTTCTTGTTTCAAGTAGTAAGGCCAGGAGCCCCTAGTAGTTTCTTATGCTCCCTAAAAGACAAATAATCAGAAAAAAGTGCATACGCACAACATCGCACAACGGGAATCAGCACAATGCTGCCCATTCTCGGTCCCTGCCTGGTGCACAGGGACTTGATCCCCAAAGGTGCCATAGGCCACCCCGCAGTTTGACGGGTAACCCACGTCAGAAACTACCGAGGACTGCGTACACCTGGGCGATGCTCATGCCATACGCGGTTTGCCGATGCAGTCAGGCCGCAAGCAGCGGGATAGTAGCTAATCTGAACACGCCGCAAAGGACTTGCCTCAAATCTGTAAGGGCCTAGCACAGTGGAACCAACACTAGGTGTGCCTAACTTTCTGAAGTGGGTGAGAGCGGGCCAAGGGGTGTACTGTGCACCACTCTAATGCCTGCACTACTTAGACTTATGCGTATGCTTGCTTTTGTATCCATATGAACACGGGGGAAAAACACACACTGTATGGAACCCTGCCCGCATTCGCATCGAACATACTAGAACTCCTAGAGCACAAAGCGTGAAACATGAAGATCTTACAACTGTTGTTTAAGCATCATTACTAGGTGCATTTAGACTCCCAAAGCATGTGGTTTGGTTTGCTTTGACAGAACTCCGTTGGCACTCCCATCCAACCAATGGAGGTTCCCCGATTACTGAACCAATCTGGCATATTTAGTGGATGAGTACGGGAACCTGGACATGGTTTGAAAGGACGTAAACCTGACAACTTATATATTTTGTCTTGAAGCTGGGGAACTGGGCATTTATCTTGACTGTTACAATAATCTCAGAAATGAACAATGGACATCGCGAAAAGGAAAGCATCATTCATTCCATTTGTCCTTTCACTCTTTTGCCAGTCATTTTGTTCCAGCAGTCTGTGTTCAAGGAAACTTGGTGCAAATCACCGTCCAATACTTTTCGGCATGAGTACCTTCATGGACATTCAACAAAATCTCGTCGGGACCACAGCTAATTAAAATCCGATAGCTGAAAGAGTTAATCATAACGCGTGCAGGCACTTAGCCGCCAGTGTGCAGCTGCGAACAATGGCCCGCCCGATGGAAGAACAATATTTTTACGTTACATCAAGGAACGTACGACTGACTGTTTTTGTATGGAAAAGGCCTAGTCAAAGGATCCCAACGAACACACCTGTGCTATGCGTGCTGAAGCAGCAGTGCGTCCAAAAGCTAGTGCAGTGATTGCCCAAAACAACACCATTCTCTTAGCAGGACTGCGCTGATCATGATTACAAATCAGAACTTAGCAATGACACGGTCCGGCTATATGACAAAACCCGCGCACGTTGTATTAAATAGAGTTGGCACACGATCTAGCTGTTCCCCACTGCACATTCTGTGTCCATTATTGTAGTCTTGTGCTGATTCTGTCTGAGGTCTCTGCGTCCAGGGTTGGTTCGAATTCAGCAAGTCGGGATAGCCAGCGAAAATCACGTAGTCCTCGCGGTTTCTGAACTTTCTGTGCGATCAAGCTGGCAGAATCAAATGCATGGTGTGACAGCTTTTGCACATTTTTTGGCTCTTGCACTTGGTGCTGCAGGGTAAGTGATCAAACCCCGACTTGGAACAAACTTGCAGGTCACGGCCTCTGGCAAGTACTCATTGGGCACACTGATAATGCATTTGTTCAAAACAATTGGCATCGTTTGCACCATGAAGGCAATTCTGCTGAGTGACATGATTAATTCTATCTTTCGGCACATATGCGATTCTATAGAGAGATCTTTTGGAGTCAAGAAAACCAATCGGTCCTGATTGATGTTGTATGGACTGCTGCTCCAGGAAGAGGTAAAGAGGTCCTCGAGAACGCATTGCACCCTGTGGAGTCATTGTGGATTTTGATACTTTAGAGCTCTATATATGCAGGTACACCAATGTATGTATACTCCATAGTTCCATAGGTATCATGCAAACCATTGCATCCATCAACGTCCAAGAAATGTAATTATACGTGTTGCTGAGCGCCAGGCGTAGGCACTGGGTGCGCTAGTGTTGGTCATGAAGCCAGCGTATACTGAGTGCACCTGGCGAGGTGCACTTTCGGGGACATCCAAGACCGAAGACAGCCTCCTATATTAGCATTTCAATTATGTAGACTTTGCTTCAGCCTTAGTCTTCTTGCACTTCCATGTCACACATCAGGCAGAAACACAACTCCTGAAAAATGGATCATGACAAGTGCCTAAGTACCCAGCCGATAGGTCTGACTTTCAAAAGGCACACAGTATAATATGTCAGCTGTTTGCAGCAGCTTTTGCACCTAAGTGTAGGTAATGTAATTCATGTCTTATGGCATACGAAACATATAATACAATATATATATATACACAATGTACACTGCAATGTACATAGTTGTATTAATTACTCTTTTAACATGCCCGCAACGATCGAATTAAACCAGCCAGGGTCACACGGCAGTCTCGAACGTGGCGAACTACAGGGCATTCTTGGATCATAGAATTAAAGGAATCAGCTTCCATTGAAAACAGCCTGGCAGCCCGGTCTTTTTGATTATGAAAGGTTTGTAATAACTGATTATGTGAGACCCACGAACTTGCAGTTCTCTAAAAGGCCACACGATGGTTGCGAGTAGGTCTATGAGACTAGTAGTGACTAGTGAGCCCACCCTTCAACTCTAAGCCACATCTTTCTCAACAAACAAAATAGGCCTGGACAGTTCAAACAGCAGGGCGACAATATGAATGTCCGAACGAACAATGGTCTCTTCCATATTCTGGTTTTCTGTCAGCAACGATGTTACATCATGTTACAATCCTGAATATGAGAATCCGTGATAAACCTTGGTGCATAAATTGAAGCTTTTTTGGCACGGCTCAAGAGTTGCTTTCTCACTAACACGGCAAGCCCACTATGTGGGATGTCTCTTGACATCTAGCCATCTAGCTAGTGTATCAAGCCAAGCACCATGTGTCAATTTCTATGCATGATGTGTTAAGCATTGTTAAGCATTTGCAGGCGGCGACGTCCCGGCATCCATCTTTGCTGTGGGGCTGATTTCAAGCTGGTCGCCAAAGGAGGTTGCTAAACAATGGCGCTTTACCCCCAAGGAAATCGTCATGATTAAACATGACATACCAATTGTCGCCCGACAACCTTGTTAAAGGAATTGAACAGGAGGGGAGCGCAGCCTCGAAGTCTCAAACATATCTTGTTTCCTCATACCTTGACATTCGCACACCTGTTCGCATCAATCAAAGCCAGCAAGGCAACTCCTGGTTGGCATTTTCCACAGTGACGTCCAACACCGTGGTCCAGTTCTGCAAAAAACACCAAACCGAGGAGTTTTCTTTTTTTTTTCTGGGGGGGTTGAAGTCAACTCCCTTAGCAGTGCAAACATTAGGATGCAAATTGTAACTCCTTCACTCTTTGCAACCCGCAGAAACCTATTTGTTGATGACACACAGTCACATGCTGGAATTCTGATTCCAATCAATGTAGCAAACAAGTATCAAACAAGTGCATGTCTTCGTGGCATGGACTCCCAAAGTCAGCAAACGACTGAACAAAGAACATCCAGTTACTAAAGTTACTTGCACAGCTTCACCGCAATGTGTCCCTGTCTGAGTGTGCACTTCTCAGAGTCTTGCTTCGTGCTTGATGGGTAGAGAAGTTGAACCGTTTGCACAAGCACAATAGTTGCTCCAATCTGTTCAAACCACGTCTTTAGAATGATTGGAATGCAAATCCGCTTGAAAGCACCACACGAGCATTACTCAGAAGATCGTGCCTCCACCTATTTTGTATTGTTGGGATTTACGCGGCAACTCACGCACGGCTCCCTGTTAGTTCAGCTTATGCTAGAAGGACACGCAAGCTGCACAAACCAGTAAGTGGTTCTTGTGCGATCGTGCATGGTGCGAGCATCCATGGTACAAACAGATACCAACAAATGCACAGTGTCTTTGAGCATAGCTCACACGGTAGCCTGCTTTGCTGCCTTAACTCAGACTGAACTACAGTATATATACTGTATATGAATGTATTTATATGATAATATGTGTATGAAGCATGCACAAAGAGTCCAGCCTCGGTCATCGTGGAATTCACTGCACGAAAGCCTCCAAAGAGAAACTCACAGGGCAGCTTAAAGTAACCACCTTGGTGACGCACGCTCTCGATTTGCTGCGCTGCTGGTCAAAAAGTGAAGTCCAGCGTTTACCAAAAATACTTGGAACTTTGCGCAACTGGCTTGTTCTACACGTGTGAGGCTATCATCCGCTGCCTAATTTTTGCTTCATTGTAGCTCAAATGCATGCATGAAGCAAGCCAATGATTGGTTGTGCAGTGTTTTGCACTGAAATCTGAGGCCCATCAAATTCTGCATTTCAGAATAGCGCTTGGCACACCCGCAGAACTCAGAACCTTCTCAAATCCATCAATTGACCAGGGCATGGAGTATTGTGACCACTTTTTGGTCTGCTCATCTTCTCCACGGCTTGACTGCAGCGACCTTGCTTCCTGCCAGAATTTCAGAGCCCAAGAGGATTCTGCACGAAGGACGATCTCGCAGCCCGGCAATGTATTCACTGCGGGTGTCTTGCACATTCTTGCACGAGGATCTGCCGTCCAAGTGCTGGTCCGACAGTGTCTCTGTTAAGCTCGTCCAGCCGCAAAACATGTCAGTCTGTCTCCACCGACTAGACCTTGTGCCTCTTATATAATGAACTTTTGGAAACAAATCCTTGTAACTTGCTTCATCTATGTAATGTAGGATGAGAACCATCTCATTAGCACCTCAGTTGGCTCCATTGCAACCAACCCCTTTCTTCATATTGCTAAAATGTTGAAACTGATTGTTGCGAGAAAAAGAGAACATACCTTTGTCTGATCACCTACGACAAAGGTGCAAGATCACACCCAGGAAATTCTTCAAGACTCTTGCAGTGCACAATCACCTCATACACGCCACATGCAAGGATGTTATGGGCGCTTGTATGCCTAGCCGTAGTAGACCCCTCATATCCTGGAGCTATAAACTGCATGGCTACTCAGGACAAAGATTGAAGCAACTCTAGAACAAGCTCCCATGTCCACTTGAGTGCTTTTGCCTAGCTGCAAAGGCTGTTGGTGTTCCAATAGCATATCCCAAGGTGTCAGATACTGCAGCCGGAACTACCAGCTGAGTCAAGCAAAGTGATTCAGCAAAGGTGGCAGCTGTTGAAGGCCCACCAACGGCAGCATTGCTGGCAACAAGCCAAACTGGAAGTTGAATGAACCTGGCGTTTCTGGTGCTCTGAGTCAAGCTACGCAGCAGCCCGACTCCCAGGATAGTTCAATAATCAAAGACCAAACCGACAAAGTTCTCCGAGCTGATGAAGGTCCAAACAGCAATGTCATTCCCAATTGTTCATATCTTGGTTACATCATATTACATCCATTCCTCTCTCTACGCAGCTTTCTTCCATGAAAACTCCTCATCAATGGCCACAAGTACAGCACTTATCCTATGTTGGTGCCTAAAATTAATAGCAGGCAGAGTTCTGTTTCATAGTGAATTCTCGGCCAAAAAATGGCCCACCATGTCCAACACCGCCCAAAGGCTGCCTTCTACCAAAAGCTCCTTTCAGCAGCTGACTCCCCAAAGCGGCAAACAGCAAGTGCCCAAGCAAAACCACTGCAGAAAGAAGAAAAATCCCAGCACCACCGGCAATGCCACTACCAGCACCAATGCCTGCGAACATCAATGAACTGGGCTCCTCTGCTGTGATACTGATTTTCGCATGTTCAAGCACACCTCTGGACTCAAAGTCCAACATAAGGTGGTCAAAGAGCATGTGACTTGAACAAAAGACAAGGCGGCAGCATACCCAAGTCCCTCATGAATAGTCTATTGCGAAATCTCACGAAGCGTTTGATCCTCGATATGAACACTCTCCATGCTCGTGATCTGATCCAAGGGATATGGGGCCAATGTTCTGGAAGTTCCCAATGGCCCTGCCTAGTGTTGTGTAGAAGCAGCCCAAGAACAACTGCGCAACATAGGCACCACTTCCAGCCACTCTATGGCACTGTTGGGATGACGCCCACAGGCGACATGATTGAGCCAGCACCTGTCTGGATGAAACCAAGTCAACTATTTGTTGACTGCAATAAGAGAAAATGGTGCAAGCTTCGCCATATTGTGCAGAACAGTCTCAACGACTCAACAACTGTTTCGGTGCAAACATTGGCTTTCCTGACACATGTCACAGGTTCTGCATGAACAAGCAGCAGCTTTATCCAATCTATGCTGCGCTTCGCTTCATTAAGGGTTCCTCACATCGATTTGACCACATAATGAGGTGGCCACACTAATATCAATATATCTTACCTCAACGAAGAGATTGCAATGACAACTTCTTTGCAGTGGTGCCAAAAGCCTCTGCGGCCGAGTAGCAACTGCAAGAATCACAGCCATGGCAGAGTTGGCACCAGGAAGCTTCAAACGTGAAGCACAAGAAAGGGACAAGGAACAAACACACAAAGCTGTGGTCGCCAACCAAACACGAAGTGCCAATATGCTCCAAAGGCTCATCCTCGGAAAATTGCACTTTGGGCATGGCACGCTACTTGATACTGTGTTCGCATATGTTCTGTGTTGTTGACATCCTCCTGAAGAAACTTACCTGCCTCTCAACTCCGGCCAAAAAAACAGCAGCAAACCATTCCAAGTGTCATATCCTCTTCCGTTGTTTCCATCTTCGCAAATGTGTTGTCAAAGCCGGTCACTCCATACCTCCCCACTCTTGAGAACTTTGCTGCCAACATCAGCCCGGCAAAATAGAAGCACATCAGCAGAACATCAGCAGCGGCCAAACAGCCCAAGAAGCCTTGAGCATCCTTGGCCAAACCAGTTTCCCAAGCAACTTCAGCCAAGTTTGCGCTGCCCCCAATGTATGTCGCCACCAAGCATCCACAGACTTTGGACACTAGGGCAGTTGGAATATTGGCCAAGCTCGATGTTGGAAAGTAAGTCACAGAGTAAAGCGCGATAAAGAATGCAGCAATGGCACCGCCACAAGAAGCCAGGGAGCACACCAAAAAGGCTATCAAAGTTCGCAACATGTTGGAACTGTTCTTGGATTGTCTTCTGTCCTGTCGAGCCTGTGCTGAGAGAACCATCAAAGGGAGAGCTGCAGGTAGCAAACGCGACGACAAATAATCATACATGGGATGGTATAGCGGCAGAATACTGAATGTCCTTAGCATCCATCCAAAGCCAAATGATAGCAACGGGCTCGTAATTCTTCTCCCCAGTATTGTCCGGCTTTCAAGAGCCAGTGAAGCTGCCGAAGCACTGAGTAGATACAAAGGAATGCTGGAACTGAGGCTGGAAAGACCTTGTCTAACATTCCTCACGGGCAAGGTATGTCGATCATGAGCTCGGAAGAATGGCAGTCACAACATGTCACAACTGGCTTTTTTGGGAGTCAGCTTGTATATAACTCAAAAAAGAAACAGCCCTGGTGTCAATTTTGCACCAATCGGTGAGTAGCCAACTTGGCTTGTCTGGTTTCCGTGGAACCATGGAGGCAAGTAGCATCCAATGATATCGGCATTCCTATTGAAACGCATTGCCGTAGAGAAGACACGAGGACTTGTGAAATCCACATGTTCCAACAGCGAGTGGCCGTCTCCTTGCCCGTGGCCCTGGCCCCAGCTCCAGCGGTGCTGGGTGAAGGGTCGAAGACCCCAGCAGTTTTCCCGGCCATGAGGACGGCGGCGGCCGAAAAGCAATCAAAGCAAAGGGTTCGGCCATGGCCATCTCTGAGAGACATGAGTCTGGACCATCTGAGGATGCCGAATGGCATCGAATGGCAAAGAAAACATGCACCAAGGTGCGTCACCATTCTGCTGCTCATGCTTTGTAAGTTTTTCATAGTTTTTCCGAAGTCGGTTCTGAATCTGAAAGAGAAAGTGGCCGCTCACTATTCTTGCAAGCCCGCTTGGCCCCGCCTCCTTGCTTGAACAACTAGAGATTACCTACTCAATTAAGGGGCAACTGGCCGCTACTTGCTACTGGACGCAGGAAGGATAGCTCACGCTTCTTCAAGGAGGGCGGCGGGGAGCTTCCTTGAAGAAGCGCTCGGGCTCGCACTATTCAAAATTGGTTCCTAGATTTTAGGGAAACTCAGGTCTTGCTCTGGTTACTTGCTGCATGATGCGCTCCAACGACGAGGCCGCGGAATGACAAACTCTTGGTTGATGACTGGAACCACACCAGTTCTGGCCAATCCTCAGCAACAACGGCGAGGCACCAACCAAGCGCAAGTGAGTGTTCTGAATGGGAATGGGGATCCAAGACATTTCACACCAAGCAGGATGCTCGAGTCCAATTCAGTTGAACACCTAATTGATCTTTTTGGTGAAAGAAAGGGGTTGATCACACACCGGTTCCCACCACCTTGCGCCTACCAAAGCCTTGGGACCACGGCTCAGAGCTTTTGTCCGCAATCTGCATGATTAGTAAGGGTGCGTAGCAAACCAGCGTAATGACCTTAGGGGAACCCCCGTCTCTGTCCCGTCACGAACAAGCAAGGACACAGCAGAGGACCATCCTGACAGCTCAGTAGCAGTGTAGCTGCACAACTGCAAGAGTCTGTATCCTTACTACTCAAAGCTGGGTGTACGATCTGAGGCCCTTGCAGAGATCAGAAGCAATGTGGAGTGAAAGCGAAAAAAAGCGCCACAAGCCTCCCCATAGTGTGATGCAATGAACCTTGAAGCAGTGGCAATCATGATGCACGGAGTACTCCACTTAAAAATCTTACAAATGCATTGATCGAATCCTACTTATTACTCAAACCATCTCAAACCGAATACCCGACTCACAGAATCAACACCGACATTAGCACAACCATCCAAGCCCCAGACTTAATATCCCGCGTTTGCGGGAGGAAACGCCAGTAGATCTCAGGTGCACTATCTACAAGACAAGGCTCCACAATCTGTTCTTCCAACATCCGAAGCACCCATTTCGTCCAATTTTGGGAGCCTGTGATCATATGTGAGATTATATCATGAAAGCATGAGGTCCCTCATGTATATATAATTATATATATATATATACGTGCACACAATCCGTGTCTGTGCTTCTTTTTGATCGACATCAAACTGGTACTACATAAAGTGCAACAGAACAACAATACCTTGCAAAAAGGAGCCTTCTTCGGTTAAGAGACTGACGCTGTTGATGATGGCCTGCAGAGTCTTGAACCTTGGTGCAAAGCGGGTCAAAGTTTCGTCTGCAGCAATGATCCAACACTCGCATACATATTGACATATTGATCCTATTCCAAAGCATAAAGGTGACATCAAGTGACTATTGTTTGTTGGTCCTACAACAGACTTAGCGCCCACCTGGCAAAGCAACCTCACAGTTGTGAGGGTAAACCCAATGGGGTAGAACGAATCCAATGCATATAATGGTGTAGTATAGTGTAGTGCAATTTACACTACATCTTTGACGCAATGTGAAATCTAAATCGCCCAACGATTAGTAGCTCTTCCGGTTTATCCGACCTCGCCGTGCCAATGTCGATGTCTAGTTTTCCAATATCCTGGCTTTCTTCAGGGTGACGGCAGAATCACTGCAGGGCAAAGTGGCAAGGCTTGCTGTTCAAAGGATCCCTGTGGACAAGCTTTGACACCTGTCCTTCTCGAGGTTCTGGATATTTACGTCGAGGCCACCAGCTCCCACCAGTTTGATGGCATTGAGTTGACCCTGGCGGCGCAAGTGAGAATGAGCATGATCATCTGTGGCAACATTGTCGGTTGCATTACTCTGTTCGCACAACTTGCAAGCAAACGACCAATCGAGCACAGAAAAAAGACCTCAAAGCCATCGATGCACAGAATAGGCTCCAAAACTGTATCTATGTCCTCTGCAATTATTTCAAGTAAGTTGTCAGCAATCTCTCATATATTATCTCCTTCCTCCCACCGTCGTTCCAAGCATGTCCAGTGGTCTCCCAACCTTGGGAATCGCCTTCCCCGTCCTAGGAGTTTCACCCAATTCCGTCATCAATCAAACAATGACAAGTGGAAGCTTCAAACTTCTCACATCGCTTGAATCATCACTTGAAATTGCTGGAAGCTTCAATGAATCATCAATTTGAAGGCTACTGTATCTGATTGTCATTTCTGTTAGGCCGAGTTCTACACATCAATCTGAGGCTGTTGTTTGCTGCAACTGTCGAAAGCTGGTTGCCCTGCCAAGCATTCATGATGCAACACTGGCGGAAACTCTTGAGTCAGCAAGGACATCGAAAGCAAACAAGCATGCAGCATGCCGACCGTATGACTAGCACACTGCAGTACCACCCTATCGGTTGTGAAGTCAAGCATTTCTTTTCACCACAGTGGCTCCTGACGAATTCATGGTTTCGCTGCGCTTCTTCCTTTGGAAGTGCCAAAGGCAGCGTTACTCAACTTTCCTGGACAATTGGAAAGTTGGACTTGAGCTGTGCTCTCTTTCGCTTGGCAAATGCAATACTGCAGGCTGCACGAGAGAATGCATCCAAGACTTGGCGACCAACAGGAGCTAAGAACTGCATGAGCATCTGCATCTAGTGACTGCCAGTGAGCCTGAATGAGCCTCAATGAGCCTCGCCCTTCCAACCCATCAGCTTCTCCGTTAAAATGGAGAGCTCTGCCTGAAAGCGCCGCATGTGACCCGAGAGCTGCTCGAAGGCCAATCGAGTCTCTCGAGTCACCACAAGCATGTCAATGGCCTTGGCAGGTCCTCGTGCAGTGGAAGTGGATTGATTGCCACGGTTTTTCGATTTTTTTTTGCGGGGGGGCGGGTAGGCCGAGAAGGTAGTAGCTAGATAGCCAGTAGAAGCAAAAGTACCTGGTAGCTTAAGTAGCTACTACCTAGGACGCAGGATAGCTCACGCTTCTTCAAGGAAGCGCTCGCACTATTCATTTGGTTCCTACAGTAGATTGTTAGGGAAACTTAAGTTTGAATCCATGGATCATGATTGATTGATCCTTGTTCTATCGCACTTTGGACATTCTAAAAAAGGAGCAGCATGCATGAACCATGAACCCGGTCCTTGCAATCTGATGCACCCGTTCAGAAATTCTTCAAAATCGATTGAGCCACTTTGGTTAATGTCCAGCATATCGAACAGAAATTTCGCCTCGCTCGGCTCGATGTCCAAATCCCGGAAAAACGCCAGGACCTCCCTGTCCTCACTAGGGCCAGTGACTCCACGTCTTCAACGGAAGCTTCAAGCACTGTGTTAAAAGGCTGGATTATGAACATGCCACGATAGGAACCTCAGTGCCTGTTTGATCTGTGTGAAGGCTAACCAATGTTTACACACAATGATCATTCAATGATACTAGTGCCATAGCCGCTAGCCGCTAGCCCAAGTCCTTGGTGTGGTTCAGGATCTCCTTAAAGGAGATCTGCCCGGTTTCATCATCGTCCAGGGACTTGAACAGTCGCCGCGCCTTCATCGCTCGCTGCATATCTTTCACCTCTTCTGCCCGGCAAATGGCATTTTGAACGAAGGTTCCCGTGACCTGTCTGGTGCATCAGGCAGATTCACATCGTTTCTGCGAATGCCCTTTTTGCTTCCTCTGTCTGAGGCCGTCACATGTCATGTTCTCGGCATCTTTGGGGCTCCAAAGCTGGGCCATCGCACTGTTGCATCGTTCAATGGCACAGAGATGTGCTTTGTGCGTGAAGGTGTCTCGCACGCTCAGGGCTCAGGCACGTTTACACACTGTGGACACCGCATGACACCTTATCCTGTACGTTTCGTTGCTTTAAGGTCAGATCTTTTTTGAGGGGGTCCTTGGAACGCAAGCAGCCCAGGAAAAAGTTGTACAGAATTGCATAATATCATCATGATATCATAAACCAATGTGCATAACTCCATTATTGTTTATTAATATTACTTATACGAGTACAGTTGATTCGCGCTATGCCACGATGCCTCCACCAAAGCCACACAAACACACACATCTTAGAGCTTCCACTGAAAGAAGTTTTCTGTCTGGAAGGAACAAGAATCATTCCGAACTTGCATGTTGAACAGAAACAAACAACTGCAATATGTTCTTATTATGCTTTCACCTGCATTCACTCACTATGGTTACCTCTGCTTCCAACTAAGCTAGCGGCCACGTTCATGACTCCCAAAATAGCAAAAGCCATAAAGAGAACCAGCAGGAAGGCTGCTAGGGTGGAGATTTCTTCCAAAATGGGCGACACCATGCCACCCCAATCCAAGCCGCCCGTCATGCCCTGGAAGAGCGACAGCATCGACACGGGCACATTGCCAAACAACGGTTCCAACGAGTGACCCACGTTGCTCTCCACACGATAGACCAATACAATTTGAGTCAAGTAGATGGCCACCTGAGAGATGCATGAAATTGCATGACATTGTTAGCAATGAGCATTGTTAAGAAGGCTGTGTTTCACCACATTGGTTCTTCCATTATCTGTACAAATGCCAAAAGAATGACTCGAGTTTCTGAGTGTGTGTGTGTGTCTCTATTTCTCAAAAAGGTCCATTCGACACAGCTGTGCAAATAACGAAAGACCTGCGTTTCACTGTGAGAGCAGGGGTTCCAAATTGGACAAAGCGGAAAGGAGGGAGGCCGAAGAAAGGATGCTTAATTGGAGGCTCAAGACACGATGTAGATCATTAGGCCCAATAGGACGACTGTCCAGAAGAAGGGTTTGGAACAATAAAGTAAGCAGCTCACCAGAAGACGAAGGTCTTCAGCCATCAAAGCGATGCGAAGGACTCGTAGCACCCTTACTGCTCTCAAGATTCGGGCGATGCGCAGCAGGGTGGTGGGAGACATTTGATGTAGTGCTCCAACGGACTCACCAGCTGAGATGGCCATCAAAAGCTCTTCCAAGAGCTGGACGCTCACCAAGATCAAGTCAAATACATTCCAAGCCCATCCAACCTCAGGGCACTAGCACCGTTAAACATCAAGCCACAACGTGCCTTGGAGATTGGGTCTTGTTGGAAGTTACACGGCCAACAGCACAGAAACCCTCCCCGCATGAGCGTGTTGAGTGCACGGTTTGGGGAACCTTTTCCACGGATGTCATGTGGATGTCTCATGGTGCGCTGCTAAATGCTTCCGGTATGGATACCGGTCTCTTCCGGTCCCGCCTGCGTGAAGAACTCGAGTCGATATGCCACGAGTCGGAGAGTGAGTTCCACGGTGAAGATGATGCAATAGACCACTTCGATGACGCGGTGCACCTCCGAGGTGTCGCCCACCAGGTTCTCGGCCATCCAGTTGGTGGACAGTCCAATCTGAAGAGCACTGGAGGAAATCAAAAAGATCGTCAGCAATTCGAAGTTGCTGCTAGTCACTAACTTATGACATTTTGCATGAAAGGTCGATTTGAAGGTTGTGGTTTTTGCTTTGTCTTGTGCAGTGGTGACCAAGCCCATTCCTCGACCAAAGGCATCCCCTTTCTCGACCTTATGTTCAAAGATATTGAGCTTCTGTTGGCTGCTCTCCATACTTTCGGCCCACTTTTGGCTCGCGACGCTGCTCTGTGCAAACCTCTTGGAAGGCGTTTTTGCAAGGGAGCCTTTATCAGGCATTGACCCAGGCAAAGATGGCATGCTCACCTCATCAACCACCAAATCGGGAAAGGAGTCTCCAACATGTGTCACTTGAACCGCATCCTCGTCCTCCTCATCTTCATCTCTCACAGACTCAACTTCATTTGAGTCAAAATGGTGTGTCTCTGGAGTCTTCACCTCTATCGTAGGCTGTGTGGATAGAGGTGGACGTGGACTGAGTCCATTGAAGGAGATTCTCCGTGTATTGGTGATGGGATTGGGTGACAAGCTCTGTGAGTCTGACCTTTCAAGCTTCATCACCACATTGCTCACTCGCCGCTCAAAGACATCCTTACTCATGGGCTCATGAGCTTTGTGGGGAAGCCTCTGGCTGATCTCCGAAAGCTCCCTGCGCAAAGCTCCAAACTCGGTCTGAAGATAGCTCCGCAAAAATTGCAAATCTCCTGCATCCATAGCCATGAACTCCAGTGGCAATGCCACAATCTTAAGGGTATCAAATAAGACTGCTTCTTTCAGGATGCTAGTATGATGGTCTGGCAATGACATTTTGTGTGACTTCATGTGACTTCTCTTTGGAATCTGGAGACTGCAAGGCTGAGCCGAACTCCTGCTGGAAAACGAAAGAGTCAAATGACTCAAAAGTCAAAAAAGGGCCTGTGACTTTATACAAATGTCTAAATTCTAAAGTGGGTGCTCTAGAAGTGCTGCTTTTTGGGGAGGCGCAAAACAACGCGAAGGGGTGCTGGGCACGGTGGACAAGACTGGTGGAATAAGCTTCGGAGCTTCTGTAGGCCGGGTGCTTCTCGGTGTTTTCCTTCTCGGTTTTCGCTTAGATGCCGACGCGCTCACGTTCATCTTGCACTCGCTTCTGCAGCTCTGCCTTGGGAGACTGGTGCTGCTCAACTCGCATTGTTGTGAAAAAGTATGGGTTACGATTGATGAACCGTTCAATGAAGCACCTCTAGGCCAAGCCACAACTTCTTGTCCCAGCTCTTGCATTTCCTGATGGTAGTGGCAGCTTCTCTTCTCAACAAACATGTCATGGCAACAAATATAGTAAGTATGATGTCGAGAGCGAAGAAAAACTGCGAATCAAGATCAAATAATATGCTATTATGTGTTGCTGTGTTGCTTAACAATATGTCCTTCTTCCACTCTGATTGCTTTGATGTCCAATCATGGCCCTGCCTCCATCCATGCTTTGTGCTGCCTTTCTGCTTTGAAGCACTTGCCCTCACAGTCCTGAATCCTGGAGAACAAGCGCCAGGTGAAAACCCATGGTTCCTCAGGTTCCTCCTCGTTGGAGATGATAAGAGTCGCGGACAAAACATCTTCGTGTCCCCAATGCAAGGTTTTGAACAGCTTGTTGCAAAGCCCCAAAACGCTCCACATGCTGAAGCACCATGGACCATGTTTGGCTTTGACTAATACTGTGGAATTTTAGAATTTCCATAAAGAAATAATCCAAGATGTCTTGCGGCCTGAGCCGCCGCAAGAGCCTCCTGAATGAACCTGCGCTGACTGTCATCCTGCCATGTCCTGCCTTCCAGCAAGCCGTCGAACCAAGCCCTCATAGTGAGGAAGCAATGCACTGTCCACGGCATCGAAGACATGCTTTACCTCTGCAGAGATACACAGGATTCGAAGAATACAAGTAAATATTACACAGTCGGCAAAACCTGATGGATAGTGAAGATTAGTGGGCTCCAATGTACAGCACGTGAGTCAAGGGACGGCTCATTGCAAAATCCAAATGTTCAAATCTGCATGCAAATTACAATCCAATAATTGTTGGACACCCGTCAAAATGTCTGTGTGTGTGCCACCAAAAGTAGCGTTTAGGCACAAGCACTTCACGCGTTGTCCAAAAAAAACCTTCGGACTGTGGGTCACCTGCAAATGGGGATACATCGCCTTGGCAGCACTGAGCTTATATCATCACGTTTGAGCCTCTCATCTGTCGTGCAGTTGCACAAGAAACTGGGCACACTCGCATGGAAATGAAATATTAAAGCTGATGCAAGCTAATGCTTCATCTAATTCCTGGCCGACTAGCCAAACGAGCTGAGTCACCAGCCCTGCGACGCTCCTGGAGCACCTTCAATTCTTCCAAGCAAACGGGTTGACTCGAAGGTCCACTTGAATCAAGCTACAAAGCACCATTGTGTGGGAAGAAAAGTTTTCTCAACAATCATGTTTCTCATGAATCCCCGTGTCTAGAGTTCGAGCATTGTGTGCGTCCGTGTCGAACTGCTGTTGTTTTATCAACAGCTAGGCAGCAAAATGAGTTTCTTCAGGTGACCCAGCTGACCAATGGAATGGACACACTCGCCGCAGCCTAAAGCCTCGGACCTACAGCCGTTTGACCCCGGAAATTGAACAAACAGCTTGAAAACGCTCTATTAGGGGACACAGGATGTTGACGCAACAACTTGTTCCAGGTGCTTTTCATTGTTTGGTCCAATGGTGGCTGATCAAATTCCAATGGTGGCTGAACGAATATCGTTCGCAGACTCACTGCGAAGCATTTCGTGAAGAATATACTTGGCATGCGCTGGAAGGGAACCGTCGATAGATCTTTTGCTTTCCGCAACCCATCGCAGATCTTTCGCGAAAGGCTTGAAGAAGCACCAGAAAGGTCGTTCACAACAAATCAAGCAAGGATATTTTTATCAATTCCCATAAGTTGCCAACAAGTGAATCACACACATACAGCACAAGGCAATGTTCGTTGGCAGCACCTAGGGACGTGTTCACTTTCCAAATTGCCTGCATCAAAGTGTCTTCGAAGTCGTCTGGCACAGGCCTCTGCCGATGCAGTGACAGTGCATCCAGGCTTTTGCCAAAACACGACCCTCAAATCATGTCGAATATGTGTATGTCCATTATTCGACAAATTGCCCGGACTTTTGAAAAGGGCTGTTCTGTTTAGTCTACCACTCTGCTAGCATCTTGGGCAAGGACGGTTCCTGTCCTGTTCACAGTCGCAGCATGCAGTGTCAAAAAACATCATTCAGGAAGGTCAGCTAGATTTTGCCAACAATAGGGAAGCATAGAGGATGGATTGCCAGCAGTCACAGTTATCAGTTATCATGCAGGGAGCATAATTTAAACGTACCAGTATATTATACTTACAACCAGTCCTGCGGCATCCTGGTGGTCTTGACGGTTGCATCCACAGTAGGAATGGGGAAAGTGTCAAACCCAAAAACCCTCATGAAGCACAAACACAATGGCTCAAGGCGTGCAAACCAAATAGCATGTATTGAACCCTGCAGTTTAAAGATTCGATCGCAGGGTGTCTCGACTTCCAAGAGTGGGCCTTGCTCTGGTTTGCGTGCCGCTAATTGTCAGTTGAACGAAAACACACATGAGCTTCATATTTAGTTGAACGACATGTCGGATTGAAGGCTTTTAAACATAGCATTATTTGACATTATATATTTGCATAGTAGTCAACACACTGTCAGTGCGTCCGCAGGATTGCACTCCTTCTATTTCTTCAAGAAGTCCTTTGGCCAATTCTTTGCCTTTGCCTTTGGCCTTGCCCTTCAGATCTTTGCCTGCGGAGTCATGTTCACCAAACGCTTTCTCTGAAGCATACACAAGACAAGAAAAGGACAAACTCCCATATGTAACTCCCATTTATTGCAATCTGGGGCGGATGGGTGGTGAGTGATGCTTCCGATGAGTCAAAATAGATGTAACGGATGAGTCTTGCTTCATTTTGCTCTCTGTTGTACGTGGCAAAACACCCGGCAACGTTGGCTTTTTGACTCGCTTGGCCCCGAAGCAGCGAAGCCTTTGCCACCTTTGCCCTTGTCGGGGGCTGCATCTCCGTCGACTTCAGGACGCCTCAGCCGTGCGCATTAAGCATGTGCATGGGAGAAACGCGAGTACCCTCCAGGTGTGGGGCTGCTAATGCTTCCAAATGATTGGAAGGGTGGAATAAACAGTTGTGGACCCTCAAAACACATTACAGTATCTTGCCCTGAGGGCCTCATTTTGAGACCCACCTAGCCTAGTTTGATGGGTTTCGCCTGTTCGACCAATCATCTGTCTTTTGGAGATCTAATTGTTACGATGTACTGTGTGTAATTATATATATAGTATTATAGTACAGTATGTAGTATGTATGTATTTCTATCTGGAGACAATATGTAAAAATGCCCAACTGACGAGATTCTAGATAGAACCAAACCAAAGGGACCGGATAACTATCCCCTTATGAAAATACGCGTGAGAAGCTCACTGGTACCCAGGATGGCTAGTTAGTTGGCTTTTCCGAAGACTTCAAGAAAACAAGGACGAATCATGGAAAGTACTGTATCCTTGCAAGACCCCACCCATGCTCTTTGAATAGCTTGAAGACTCTTGCGGTAGCGACAGTAGTAGCATCACACAAACATGTCAAGGGTAAAGTCTGAGAGGCCGGCTCTGTTCCAATCTCTAAGGCTTTTCCCTTTTCACCTTTCCTTAGATCCGCACATGCTGCATGCCGTCAAACTAGAGCAGGATGACACACATGAAATCGACCCCAGCCATGGATCATGTGTTTCTTGATTCATGGTTGTAGATTCAAAAATCATAAACGTTCTTCTACGCACTGTTTACCCACGATGAGAGCTTCACAAGTTGGTTCTTGTTGTTGAATCTTGGCACCATCCTCAAGTAACTTTCTTGTGCTTTCTCTGCCGGCTGAGTCTCTCCTTGCCCTTGCCCTTTGGCGTGCCCTTGCTTGGTGCATCTCCTTTCCCTCCTTTGCTGTCCTTGCCTTTCTCCCCTTTGCTGCCTTTGGATCCTCCAAACATTGGAGCAAGCAGTGCATCAGTCGCTGGATGCCAACCTATCAAATGCCTTCATGAGAACCAACACGCATGAAAAACAATTCCTCTTCTGGAGAGCGATCGGTTCCCCATCCTTTTTGTTCGGATTCTGCAGCATCAAACCCTGCGAGTGGCAGCACCAAAGATTCTGACATCAACTGAAAGCGAGCAAGAAAGCTGGTAGTTTGACTTTGTGTCCTAGATTGACCAAATGGTCAAAGGCCTTCTGACTTCGCTGACTTGCCCTACATTACATTAGACTAGTAACATAGAATCTTGATGCCCTTTATTATACATATATATATATATATATCGGCTAGTGATAGGGAGGAGCACGCGTCCCTTCAAGAGTCAACACAACTAGCATTCGCAAGACAAGCAAACGACTTCACAACGAAAGAGGGAAAAATACGAATGCGTGTTGGGCCCCTTTATTAGATTCACCATTAAAGGGGTTAAAGGCAGCCAACACATGATTTGTTTCTTCTCTTGAAACACACCTCTTTCTCATCATATCTTCGTGTCTCTTGTGGTTCCTTGCCGTGCGAAACACCAAGGCTGGGCCTTTGCCCTTCTCGCTGCCCTTGCCCATGAGTCCAGGAGGGCCCTGCTGTGGCAACGATGCTAAAAAAC